AACTGGACCCGCAATAACGCCTTCAGGTCAGGGATGCACAGGCCTACAATACAGCCAGGGCTAAGCTAAAGAGGAGCTTAAAAAACGCAAAACACCACTACAACTTTTATGCTTGTTTTGAGCGAGGGAACCCAACAACTGCAACAACTGCAACTAAAGCAGATGTGACTGCAGATTTCATTGAACTTCGTTGCCTTGTACTTGTGACGTGTGCAATGACAATAAAGTTGAATTCTATTCTATTCAGACCAGACACCTGGGCATTGCTAACAAACAAGTGAGGACCAACACATCCTGGATGAAGACATTGATGTCTAACTCATAAGAGTAGCAACATTTCAAACCTTTGAAGGCATGGCAGAGGGGATCTGAAGGCGAACCAGTTTGGTGATAAAGATGAGCTTTATCACCAAACTGGTTCGCCCTCCATCCCTCCCCTGGACCCTGGTGATGGGTCCGGGGGAGGGATGGTCTCAAGCTAGGCAAAGAAGCTGTTGAGCCCCTCTGCTAGTGTGTCAGGGGTTGGGGAAGGAGGATCGGAGGGGGGGCTTTGGCCTTTGAAGCTGGTGACCATAACAGTCCCCGCCAAGTCTCAGGTATAGTACAGAGGCTAACAGTAGCTAATCAAGAGAATACAAATAGATTTCCACACAAAGTCTTTCTCTTTATTATTCACTTGTGAAAAAATACCTGGAGTAAACTAGAAAACAGAACAACAAAGCACACGTTTGAGCTAGCTTTGTTAACTATACAATTACAAAACTTTAATAACTACATTTACTCTTCACTCCTACAGAAATAAATACATTCAGGTCTATAGCTATACCCTTGGCATCAGGGATACAAAAAAGTATTTCTGCAAATGGTAGCTCTGAGGATTAGTTAGCTTTTTCAGGAGTGTGGAGCATGCACAATCATTAGTAACGACAGAGTCACTGTTTTCAAGTACTTGCTTGTTATTGGGTGAACACATATAGATCTAGTTGCTCTGAATTTTCTTTGATTCAAATACAACCAACAAGAAGGAATCATGTAACAAACTTGAACATCATATCTTTATATTAACCAAACATTTTTATATTCAAGTAATCAAGCAAATGCCTTAGTTCACAGCTACATCACAGCTAAGAGAGCGTAAAAGGCATTAATATTCAGCCTTTGTGATTAAAAATGATCAGATTGCTAACACAGAGCTTTTGTCTATTTCCTAATAATAAAGCATTTTTATTCTTAATCAAAGCTAAATCAAAATCAAAGTTTGATACATATAAAATTCAGAGATGAAGTTTGAGTGCTAGAAATGCTTGTTTATTGTTTAAGTTTTATTTTGGTGATGTGTGTGTGGGCATGGGCCAGAAAACTCTGCTTTAAGGTCTCACATTCACAGGCAGTGTTTGACCTCTGCCTGCTAAGTGCTCTGCTGTTCTTCAGCAGTTTGAGCATGTGACTTTGTTTTGTCTTACAGGAAGTCATTGATCACCTTCTAATCCCCCACAGGATATTCTTCCCTCTGACCTTTTCAAGGAAGCTCTTCACGTTATTGGGCCTAGTATTTTACTTCTATTAAAATGCTTCCCTGTCATTACCAGATGCTTTCAAACATGCTGTTGTGCAACCCATTATTAAAAAGCAAACTCTTGATCCAAATGCTCTTTCTAACTGCAGGCCAGTTTCTAAACTTTCTTTTATGTCCAAAATTCTGGAAAAGAGTTGTGAGTCACTTGGATGAGTGATGAAACGTTTCTCCAACTGAAAATGTCCAGATGAACAGAATCAACCTTTTGGAATTTACTTACCTGGATGATTAAGCACGCATCAAGACGTTATTTTATTACAATTTTAAAATGTTAGCAGCACAAACAAACATTTTTGCAGCACAAACGTTTGACATCAATTTTGTTTGATTCCATTAATATGGGGGGGCTGGTTGACCTCTGATGACCTCTAGAAATTTTTATTAATATCTTTAAAACAGAAGCAGCACAAACGAAAATTTTTGCAGCACAAACGCAGCACAAATGTTTGATACCACTTTTGTTGGATTTGAAGAAGGTGGGGGGGCAACTTCACTCACATCGTCGACTAGCTTTGTTATTACATCCTGGACTGCTCTTTCACCCTCTGTTCAGATCACGCTCCTACATCGTTGTGCCCCTCGCAGGAGGACAGATGGCTCCCCAGCCTAACTCGGGCAATGGGGGTATGTGGCAGGGTGTGGTTTGTGGCTCAGCTACAGGGGAGGGGTGGAGCAGTGGGTTGTCAGGGGAACCTGACCCATGTGCCTTCTTGTAACATGCTTGCCCTGTATGAACAGGATGCTGGAACCTGATAGCAGGGTGGTGTGCTGCACTAGAGAGGCAGCTGGCAAACTGTACAAGCAGAAAAGTGAAAAAACACTGGACAGAAAATGTTCAAGTGCCTGTAATGCTGCATGTGTTGGATTCCTTCTATCACAGGAAAACTCCCATGCACCCTCAAATATGCTTGAGAAGATAAAGGGCTGGTCCAGTCATCTTTCAGCAGTAGGCGTCTGAAGCTGTTCATCTGTCCAAATGGTTCGGCTACTTCAGTACTGCAGGTTCATACGACAGTACACACTTTAAGCCTTCCTTTGCTTTATTCCATATTCATTTGTGTCAGCATTTCTGCTCTGTCTCAGGGGCTATACAATTTAAATGCAACATGCTTTGTAATGTCTGTGCACAGCTGGCATTCCTATTTAGGTTTATGCAATGTTATACAAGCCAGTGGATGACATTACTTCATTTCTATTCATGTGCCTTGCTACCAATGTGCAGCAGTGCTGCCGCCCCCCTTTCCTCCTACTTCTCCTCCCATTACCTCTTTTGTGTCCGAGTTAAAATGTTGTGACCTTTTCAGACCATTAAGTCTTCCTGTCTGCCTGTTTTTATGGCCTTTCCCTTTCCCCATACAATTCTGTTTCCCAGCTGCTGGAGACTTTGTGACAAGCTCCAATGAGGAATGTCAAAATTTATATTTCTCCTTAACAGGCTGTAGTTTTCCCAACACATTTTTCTCCCACAGTTAATTATTGGGCCATGCTGGTGACAAAAAGTCTGGTTTCATTACCCCCTTTAAAGTTTATTTAGAAACAGCAAATAATCTTAACCCCAAGGGAATTTATATAAGTGCAGCTCTTCCATTCCTCACATCACAAGGAACAGTAAAATAGTACTTTTATGATGACTTTTATTTATCTTTGAGGTCACAAAGGGTTTCTTCCCCTGTATTTTTGTCCAAGAAGAGAAAAAAACAAAACAACAAGAACAAATAAACCCCTTCACTACAATAGGGTCACAATTCACGGAGGAAGTCTGGACAAAGATAATAAAATAGATTTTTTGAGTTGTAATGATTCAAGGTCTTAAGTTAAAGGTCATGCATCAGAATGTTTTAATAAAAGCAGGCTGACGTCATCATATTGCAGTATGAAAATAGGCAGACAATAGCGTGTTAAAAAAAACAGACATTTTAGTATGTCCGTTGCCTTTTGGGGGGAGTTGTGCTCTGTTTGGTTGGGGTTTTTAGTAGAATTGGGGGGTCGGGAAATGGTTTTGTCCAACTTTTGTTTTAGTACATCAACAAAAGAGAAGCAATTTAAGCAAAATTACCAAAATACATGTGGTCATATTTTAGACATGACACTATACTTTTGAAATACTTGAATGAGATTCAGAAATCATATTTAATTTCCATTCAATGTAAGGTGAAAAACTGAAGTAAGACTGAGGCTAAAATTTTAATTGAATTAGACAAATGGCTCAAAGCATGAACTGTATATCCGTGGTATCCCACGGTGCTGAGTTTGATGTTTGTCACACTAAAATGTTTCAGATCATCAAACAGATTGAAATATTAGACAAAGACAACACGAGTAAATACAAAATGCAGTTTTCTGAATGAATGTGTTTACTATTAACAGGAAAGAAAATTCAAACCTAGCTCTGCGTGAAAAGCTGATTGCCCATCTTGTTATAACATAGATGAACTGTCTTTGGAAAATGGAGTCTCTAGCCACACACAGACCTGATTACTGCCACACCTGTTCTCAATCAAGAAATCATTCAAATAGGACCTGAATCACAACGTGGAGTAGACGCAGAAACAAGTTTGTTTTTTAAAAAGTTAGAGTGCATCCAGAACCAGGCTTTAAGACTCTGCACAGGTGCAACAAAATCCACCCCAACAGCTACACTTCAGATGGAAATGTGAGAAATGCCTCTTGATATCAGAAGAAAACCATTTTCATTAAATTACTGGGTGAATTTGCAAGGGCATGGACAGGATCACCTCACACAGGAAACACTTAAACCTTGTTGGGAGAAAGAGGTGTATGGGCTCAAACTTCATAAAAACTCATAAATATTTTGTACTTGTACATCAGACTGCGTACTTATGAACCGAGTTTTGCAACCTTGTAAACCAAAACATCTGAAAATGTTATGTTTGTGCATCTAGACTGTGCGTGTGCAAAAAAGATGTTAAGGTCTATTTACAAATACAAAGCAAAGAAATGTGGGCTCTATCTAATCCAGTGATTTAAGTTACATTTGCTAATGTTTTTGAAGCTTGTAAATAGGTAAGAATAGTTAATAAGTCTACAAAAATATAAATACAATTCATACTTTCCTTTTTCTCAAGTAACTTGCATGTGCTCCCTCACTGATAAAGCTTCCATCCAGTTAACAACAGTAGTTGGTGAGGAATAATATCATGGAGGACAATGACAAGTTATTTAGTTACATTAATTTCAATGACTTTTGTTAAGAAACACACAGTGTGATGATGCTTACATTAATTCATTCGACCTTTTTATGTTAAGAATTAGTTGAAACGATGTTTTGTGAACTTTTCCCTCAGAACTGCTGGCTGACACCCACTACTGTGGTTGTCTCAGTGAGCCTGTGTGGAGACAGTGACCAGATAACCAAGCTAATCACACATCATATAAAATACTGGTTGATAAGAAGGCAACGTGAAAACATTTTCTAACATCTTTATTTGCTGCTGCTTTCAATTTATTATGATCTGGAAATTAATATTTAATTTTAGACAGTATTACATAAAATACCTTTTAAAAGCTTTTTATGACAAGATAAACAGCCTGGTGACTTCATTTGACAAAGTCGGTCCACTGTAAACTTCAGTTCAACCTGAATTGAAGATGAGCATTCCACATCTGATCACATTCTACAACATCTCGGAAAACTGGCTGGAAATTAAGTCCACTGGAGAGAGCTGCTGAATGAAGAACAAACTAACCAGACAATGCATCTCATAAATGACACATTACTTCTTGACTGTAGCCTTGAGCATATTACCTTAGCTTGTCTCATATCAGGACAACCACAGACTGAAGTGATAACATTGATAATAACGGCATTAATTACATCCTTCGAATTTCATCCACTCTAACAATTACAAAACCCTGGTGTTGAATGGAAAGGCCATGTTTAAAGGGTTAGTGGACTTCCTGAGTTCATAGACCAGCCCTAGTGACAACTAGCTATTTTTCATCCTCATACAGTACTTCATCTATGGGCACATCATGGTTATCAACAGGTACTTTTTCACAAAGCTGCTCTTTGAAGGCCAAGGCAATTGTGTAGGGCTTGCCTTTGGGGTGTTTTTTGCAACGCTCCAGGTAGTTATCATAGAAACCCTTCCCTCGTCCCAGTCGGTTCCTGGCGCGGTCAAAGCCCAGCCCTGGCATCAGAATCAGGTCCAGACCTCCTGGATTGTGCAAGTAGACAGTATAATTACTGTTAAAGTTCTCATTGTGTCTGTACATATACATCCTAACTCATAAATTCCTGTTTAATCTGTATGTAGGAAGGAAAAACGGAAGTCTTTGTATGTTCCCCTGACAGATTTATGCCTAAGATAATAAAAGCTCTTGGTCCCCATTCAACATTTGCTAAATCGTCTGTCGGGAAACTTGGGGTAACCCTTGATTCCGGTCTCATGTTGGATGTTTATGTCAAGTCTCTGGTTCAGTTTTGCTTCTATCACTTAAGAAACACTGCCAAATCAAGTCCAGGGCCCTATTTCAGGAAGCCGGTTTAGAAAACTCAGAGTGAAAAACGATACGCAGGGTTGAGTAACCCCGAACTGTCCAACTCGGAATATTCGGTTTCAGAAAGGCTGATAACAATTAGTTCAATCAACGCGGAGTTGCTTTAACCCCAAGTGAAGCACGCGGACGAGGATACATAAAGCCCTGATTAGTGGAGCACAGATTAAGCGAGTCACCATGGAGACGGAGGGAAAGAAGGCGCGGTCAATGTATTTTACAGCGCTTGAGGCTGAAATTCTGTTGGCAGCATATGCCGATAACATGCAAATTCCACGGAAAAAAAGTAACACAGCCTCAGCTGCGAAAGAAAGAGAGCATGCATGGCAAAACAAAGCCGACAGAGTCAATGCGTGAGTGTTAATTTAAACATTGATCGAGGGATTCCCACCCATTTAACACGTTATTTTATTTTATTTTATTTTTTTATTTCATACATTTTATTTTGTGATGTGATTTGAGGGCAGGTGCAACCCAACAGGCCCCAAACGTTCCTGGCAGCAAGTAAAAATGAAATATAAAAATATAGTCCAAACAGGTGAGGTGTAATTGTATTATGAGCCATAGTGCTTGGTCTGTTTGTAAATCAATTGCAGTTAGAGGCTACATTAATTTCCCCTCTGTAAGCACTTATTGAAATTATCTGAGCACATTACAAGTACATATTTGCTTACTCTGTGTGCTCAAATGTGACCCGTTATAGCCAACAGAAAAAAAGCGGAGGCCCGAAAAACAGGTGGGGGTCCTCCACCACCACCACTCACAGAGCCTGGCCACTTGGCTTCCACATCTGTGATAATGTTGGCAGCATCACATATGATCTTCACAGTGCAGAGAACACAAATTAGCATCCATTACTATAATGAAATAATTTGTTAGTTTGAAATGCTACAGGGAACTATGTACCTGTACATTAATGCTGTGGAAAGACTTCCTGTTCACATAGTCTCCTTCATTTACTGAAGGAGCAATGATTGGAATGTGAGTGCCATCTGTACAGCCAATCACGCCTGGGAACCGTGAAAATAAATGTAAAATTTAAGTAGTAGTTCAAGTATCACCACATCATGAATTAAGTTTCGTTCATCCTGATACCTGCAATTTTGTGGCATCCCTCTTTGATAAATCTTGTGGTCTATGACCGGGGAACACCACAGACGAGTACAGGAGACGTTTCAGTGCAACTGTAACATTCCTGACTGCCCGACAGACGGTAGCCTTGGAAACGTGCTCAGCGTCACCAATATTATACAGAAAGCTCCCGTTTGCAAAAAACCGAAGTGCAATACAAATAATATGTACAGAACTGAGAGCATGTCCGCGATGTGTCACATGAGCAATATTAGGCCTGAGGATGTTATTCAAATAAATTATAGATTGTGCTGAGAAACGGTAACGTTCACACAGAAAATCATCAGGAAATGATAAAATGTCCAAACACGCTCTGATCACTCTCTCCCGGCGGAGAGCTCTGCGGAGAATTTGGGCTTCAACATCTACTGGCTCTTCAAGGAAGGCGCACGCCATGTCTGACACTTCCTACAGTCAGGTTTCTGACAAAGAGGCGGAGACAGTCAGGGTTAGTTGAAGTAAACCTGCTAGGGGGCAGGTTAGCTTCACGGAGTGTGTCGTCATAGTAACTCACTCAGAATTAATCTAAACTCGCTTTGTGGAACTGAAAACCCAGAGTTTTCGTTAACTCAGGGTATACTTACTCAGAGTTTGCACTAAACCGGCTTCCTGAAATAGGGCCCTGTTGTATCACACACTGAACTGTAGATTGGTATTCATGCATTCATTTCATCACATCTGGATTACTGTAATTCATATTTATTTTTCTGAGAAAAAACTCCCTCTAGGTTGTTCAAAATGCTGCAGCAATGGACCCTGAACTCACATTTCATTCTAAGATTCTGGTTCTGACTTTTAGAGCTCTTCGTGGCCAAGCACCAGCTTACATTATTGTAATTCTACACTCTGTGTCCCTAGCAGGGCCCTGAGATCATGTAATCAGGGCCTACTTGTTACAAGGCTGAGAGCTAAGGTAGACAGAGCTTTTGCCACTGTGGCCCCCAGACTCTAGATTTCTCTTCCCCTAAGCTTGAGATCTGTCGATTCATTAGTCTCTTAAAAAAACAACCAAAAACTAATTTTTTGCGTTTGGTTAACTTTTTGAATCATTACTGAAGACAAATGTAGGCTTTCAGCACACATTGACCCAAACATTTTTTGTTTTAACAGACTTAGTAATTGTTGTTTTGGTTGTTTTTATTGTCTTCTTGTTTTAGTCCCTCTTTTTATTTTATATATTTTATTTTATTGCATCGTAGTTGTGCATCGAATTGCAAAGGGTTCAGTTGCTAAAGTAAATAGTGAAGGAGGTAAAGGACAACCTTTGAAGGCCAACGCCTCTAGGAACGGGGTAAGCAATTTAGTTTTAGTTTTTTTATATACATCAGTTGGTGCAACTTTTTTCCCTGTTTTCATCCTGTTTATGGCTGTTTCTGTTTCTTCCTTGCTAATCACTTGTTAGAAGTGGTGCGCATCTCCCTTTTCTATAAAAGCAAAGAAATTATTTTGGTTTTGCCATTTCCATTTCCTGTTTCTATTTCAGTAATGTATAGTTTTGCATAGTACATTCTGCAGAATCAGAATACTTTATTAATCCCGAAGGAAATTAGGGTTACAGCAGGCAGCACGCTAATGGCGCATGCGCACTTACAAAGGAACCTTCTGACCAACTTTACACAAACATCACATTGGGGAGACATGTCAGAGAGGTCGGCTGATAGGAAAAAACAACGAAAATACATAACATAAACATAAATGTCCTGATTTTTAAAAATCTGATATTAGATCTTAATATAATGTTCTGAAATGCCCTGCAAAATAAACTGCGTTACTCAAACCACGTATACTCTGTGGTTTAGAGCAGGATAAACACGTTAGCTTGCAATACTGTGGTGAATTCAAAGTAAAGCACTGTCTTGAACTGGTGTGCAGTGGCTGTGGTGTTCATGGTTCAAGGTTCTTTATTTGTCACATGCATAGTTATACAAGTATAACACACATTGAAATGTAACCTGACACACTCCTCGACATGTGCAAATATAGCGGGGGGGGTAGAGGAAGAACATTATATATATATATCTCACTGAGGGGGTTCAGGCCTATGCAGAACAGCAGTCAAAGAGAGGGAAGGTAGTCAGAACTGAGGGGATTGAACTACCAGAAGGCAACATTGCAGACATAG